CATAATGAAGTACAAATTTGTTGGATTTATTGTGATTAATCACTTTTCATAGATGTTTTGATATTTAATTATTTAATACTTGATTTCAGAGCATTTCCTTATTTTTTTTCCTTCAAATTATGAATTTTGAGAGGTGGAAATTTATGCGGTTATTTAAATAAAATAATGAAAGAACATCTCTTAAGCGGAACTGTCTTGTTTGTCGTAAACGCTCTCTTAAGTAATAAAATTTAACAATCATTTAAATTTGAAATTCTATTTTAATAATACTTAACTAAATCAAGTGACAGAAGTTTTTGGCATGGAAAATATATATTTTTCTTGCTAAATTTTTTAATTACTTGTAAGCAATATTGTAAGTTTTTTTTGTAGATTATAGTATAGGAAAAAAACATTTTATAATAAGAATTATTGATATAGGCAATTTTAAATTCTTTAGTTATATTTTCCAATTTGAAATTGCTTTAAATAATTTAATTTGCTAATAAAAATAAATTTTATTCACGTTTTTATTCTCGGAGAAATCATACATTGTTATATAAGCTTTTAATATATGAGGAATTTCCACTATTAGTATTAAAAGATGTAATTGATTACAAAAAGTAAAAATGTATGAAATCGAAATAAAAAAAAAGTAATTAAAAAAATATTTGCAGCAATCGGCTGCATTTTTGTTGAGAAAACTATACTTGTAATATAATTTTGAAAACAAAAATATAATACAGTTTCTGGTCGTATTAAGTAAATTTAAAAATTGAACTGTAGACAGTATTTTGGGGTGGGTTTCCTTTTTAAGATAACACTGATGGAAAAAAAAAAATGAAGAAAAATAAATTATACAATTTGTTCCGTTAAGTACTGACTTTAAGGTATACTTTAAAATTCACTGTTAAAGAATAAAGTACAAAGCGAATGTACATTGAGTGTTGCAAATTAATATTTAAGCGAGGGGGAAACAGAAATACTACTGAAATCTTTTGAATCGCCAGTGAGGAAAGAAAGATGAAGAATGTAAATACTAGTTTGATTTCTAGTAAACTCTTGGTTTTTTTTAATAATTTCTAACTGCTTTTTCTTTTTCAAGAACCAAAGAGGTTTCGATGTCTTCTAGGTAGGTGTTAGAAATAATGTTTGTTTCGTACTTCAAATAATTTCTCTAGCAAGAACTCCAAGTTAAATAATGAGCAAACTTAGCTATTTTCCACGTTCAGTTTTCATATAAGTACTTTTTTTAAACCCCAAAATTTCTGCTTTTCAATTGATTAAAAAATTCAGAAAAATTAGCTAGTTTATACATAATTTAACAGATTAATTTCATAATCATTACTTTCATGTAAGTAATATTTTAAAATCAATTTAATGTACTATTCCCCCCTTTATTTCTTACAAGTCAAACGCAATCTTTAACAAATCTTTAATATTGTTATTTTACTATAATTGTATTTAGCCGTTTTTAGGGGTGTTTATAAAGTAACTTAAATAATAGTAATTTTTTTTTTTTAGAATCGTGTTTTATTTATTATTATAGTTCTCCCGTCACAGGTTGGCGTGTGCAAAGTGAGAATTAAGCGCACCGGTGGAGTTTATTCCAGCGATTCAGGGGAAGAAGGTAAAGAAAGTCGAAGCCAAAGAGAAATGCAGAATCGGGCAAAGTAAATATAAACTACTTATTTGGCATATTAATGAAAGTAAATAAATAAAAATTTAACTTATTTAAAGAGCCTTCTCTCGTATTGAACAGAAGAATCGAAATGGTATGCTAGTTTGGAATTCTCGCCCAAAAAAGCGCTAATATTTATCTCGCTTTAACTTTCCCATGAAATTCGTTTGTCCAAAGATAATTCCGTGCAAAAAATAAAATTTAGTTAACATTTATTATTTTATAAAATAACAGTCAAAAATTGTTTGAATTGTGGGGTCCACAATTTTTTACATAATTTTAAAGTATCTAATTTTACATGCCAAAATACAAAATTTGAGTGAAATCGATTGAATAGTTTCTGAGTAATCAAATTTTGAATATACAACTTTTTTAAAATTTGATTTCTCCGGAATTATTCAACCGATTTCGCACAAATTTTGTATTTTGCCATGTAAAATTAAATACTTCAAAATAAAGTAAAAAATTGTATACCTTTCAATTCAAAATGTTTTCCGCTATTATTAAATTAAATTTACTGAAATTTATTTTTTTCAAAGAATTATCATTAGGGTTCACGAAATTTACAACTGTGTGCAAACATTTGTCTATAAAGTTCTTGAGATATGGCGAAATGCGCAAAAAAGTAAAATTAACGTTAAGGGGTCCAAACTTCGGATCGCTCTTCTGACCAAACTACGAGGACCATATTTCACAGATTGCGGCTACCCCTTATACTTTGGGAGTCAGAAGTTCGAATCCGTCGGAAAAAAGATATGTTTATTCAGAGAAAATACATTTTTGTGTCTGATTTCGTAACTTGAAATATCGTCTGCACTAAATAATTAACATATTTGAAGTCACTCATTCGAAGCATTAAGATTGGGTCGTAGAACGTGAAGATCCGAACGTTGAGTCCGAGAACGTTCAGGGTGGTCCGTGTTTTTTTTTTATCTTTTTTTTCCCCAAAATCATGAGCAGTTTTCTTCAAATATTATTTTATATTATGAGACAAAATTAAAGAACAAATGATAAGACATTAGAATAAACGTTTATACACAGAAATGTGATTGTATAAGGAAAGAACACATGCGAAAGTAAAGATACTATTATAGGAATGATCCCCAACAATGTAAGTGACATTTTCAATAATTCTGTTTAATATTACAAAATAAAATTTGAGGAAAACTCCTTATTATTGTGAGCTTTCTTTCAAAAAGTACGAAGACTTGCTAAAAAATTGCTTAAATTTTTAAATTTTTTTTTTAAAATTTTGAGATATTTAAATCGGTATTTTTTATTATTAGTTGATAAATACGATTCACTAACAAAATTAAGAGAGAAAAAATTAAAATTTTTCCGTGCATGCGCAGTATAAAAGAACTACTTTAATTGCTAATATCTTGCGCAGTTTTAAGCGAATTTTACTCAAATTTTAAAGCAATAATTTCGTTATTAATTTTAAATTGCTCCAAAAACTTTGATTATATTGAAAATTTTTTAAAGTTATAACACAAAAAAATTAATTAGTCAAAAAAATTAGTTCTTTCACAAAAATGCTCAAGTCTTCATAAATATTATAGCTAGGTTTACTAAATTTCGTGCAATTATCGCATATAATAACCAAAATAGTTGTTACAAGTTACAGATTTATTGCTATATTCTTTGGCATAGGGCGTTCGAAAACCTAATATATCTTTGTGCGCAACTTTTTTGATACTTAAAAATACGTTACATTTAATATATAATATCGAAAATGCATGGTAACGTTTCTAACTTTAAAAAAAAATGTGCTCATCACGCTACGCATGTGTTTAATCAACATGATCATAAATATGTAATAAAAAAGTATGATAATTTTTCCTACGTCTGTTTGGCTGATTCGATGCAACAAACACCTACATTTAAAGCTTAAATTGCCTCGAACTCTTCGCTCTCGTCATATAACAGTTCAACTGCATAAGACCAGAGCGGCCTGATGCATGGGAACCAACTCTGTGTATGCGCCACTTACAATATTGTATAGCTCTTAAGAGGGGGCTTTTCGGAAGTATTTTAAGTTTTAGATAATGTTGAAATTTAAATCAACCGCACTTAGAATTTTTTTAAAAACATTTTCTTTAATTTCGCAACTGTACACGATGATTTTTAAGTAACTTCATAAATTTTTGCTTAATTTGATTATAAATTTTACGGCGAATGTTACTAATGTAGTTTTTATAATACTTAAACGTTTATTGATTGTCTTTATTGGTTCTTATTGAATGAAAAGCTTTAGCTCTAAAGATATTGTTATATTCAACATATCGCTATAATTTGTCAAAAATAATAATAATTTAATAATAGTAAAAGAAATCTACGTGCTAACGTAACTACAATATTAATATACATGTTGAAATTTTAGGTGAATCGAATAAAAATTTGATGAAGTTATGGGACTCAACATAAACAAATGAAACTGGAGATATTTAAGAGAGAAATGCATTTTACTCTGGTTTCAATTTTTAATTATTTTTCAAGAATTTGACACCCCTCTGAGGCAAGCGTCCGGTGACAGATGTAGCTTTTACCACTCGCTAGCTACGCGTCTGCATAATGTCACCCACCCACCTCCAAATCGACGGATGAGGAAGGGAGTGAAAAAGCCAAATTCGATTGGTGAATTTTTCGCGGGAAAATTTATTTTACACATCAGATTTTCATTCTTCCTGACGATGATTGGAAGTGTGCGAATCATTTGCTGTACAGTGAGAATGCTTCTTATATATGAATAAATGCTACGAAAGGATGCTTATTCGGCTTATTGTTTCAAGGGAAATTCTCACCAGATGTGAATCACGCCCTTATGATCATAGCAAAGAATAATGTAGGAAGTGTTTGATGCTTTTCTTTACAGCAGTCGGAAGTATTTGAGGTAGGTAGTTCATTAACGTCACACTAGAGCTGCACAATGGGCTAATGGCGACAGTCTGGGAAACATCCCTGAGGATGATCCGAAGACAAGCCATCACAATTTTGATCCTCTGCAGAGCGGATGGCACCCCCGCTTCGGTAGCCCAACGACCTGCACGCGAAGTCGAGCACTCTACGGTAGAACAGTTTAACGAGGACCAATACCGCACACCCTCGGTCCCTACGCAGACTGATCCAAGTGGTCATCCACCCTGACAACAGCCAGTGATGCTTGACTTCGGTGATCTGCTGGGAACCGTGTCTTAACGATCAGTCCACCGCCGGACCGGAAGTATTTGAATCGTATGCGTTGTGAACGGCCCCGTATGCATGCAGTGGGCCAACAGTGAAAAAAATCCTTTAGCGAGTTCCAGTAAAGAAAATTCTAGTGGCAATGCATCTGATATTTTAATAATGACGCAAGTTCCTTCTGCGTGTTTACAGTTTTGTAATTGTCTCGTTATTTTGTAATCCCGGTGCTTTTATTTTTTCTTCTTTTTCTTCTAACTTATGCAATCAAAATTGATACTTAAACTATTCGAGAAAAATAAAATGCTTCTCTCGATCATGATATTTGTTATCTGTTGATAATGTTTTGCGATTATTTCTAAATAACCTTGTGAAAATTGAGAATTCTTTAACACTTGGTTATTCTTTTCAATCTCAATAAAATTTTCGTATTTGAGTGTCCTATCTATTAAACGCGTCTTTAGCCCGTGTAGTTAAAGAAAAGTCGTGACCAATATTACCTAATTGAAGAATGGTATACATTATTTATATTATTTAATTTTACAAAAACTTTAACATTTGCTATTTAAGCTAGTTGCTTGTCGTTTAAAAATTTTCATGAGTTTTTATGTTTGTAAATAAAATCAAAATTTTTAATTATTGTTTACTTTTGTTCAATCATCGTTTCAGTACGACCTGCCATTGTAAATGTTGGCCAATTAAAAAGTTGAAAGTAACGTCTTTGTATTTATAGATTTACACTGATGGCTCTTAGCCTACAAAAACTTTTCTCGATATATATGTAAAGCTATACATTCTTAGTAACTTTTCTTATCAGAATTTTTCATAATTAAATATCTTTTTTTTTTCTTTTATTCCTTCATTTAGAAAAGTTAAACTCAAAAACAAAATGTCTTGTTTTTTGTCAAGAAGAGTGATCCTAAAGGTAGCTTCGAACCAAACACTATTTCAACTTTCCAAATTATCATGTTCTTTAAAGTAAGTAAATTTTATAGTTATATGATGAAATTTCTCTTATGTAGATAACCCAATAATTTCAGCTTCCATTTTAGTCATGTTATATACTTTTGTTCGTATTCATGTTTTATTTCCATTCTCACATTTATGTTCCATACTTATTCTCAAATTCATATTCTAATTCTAATTGTCATACTCTTGTTTAAATATAATCATGTTCATGTCGCATGCAATCCTGTAGTTCGTTTCTCATGTATTATTTGATATATTGGAAAATACTGTGTAATAGCATGTAGTGCATGACTTGAGACAAGATTATAAAATTAAAAGCCTAGTTGTGTTCTCTAGGCAGTGGCATAACTTTTAAAGTTACTTTCTAGTATTTTTATTTTTTCAAGTAAACATGCAGTTGCAACTGAAATTAATGAAAATTGAAATGTTTAGAATTTTAAAGCAAGTTGTTATTTAGAGAGGCTATTAGAAAGTATTTCATGTTATGCACATATATATGTGTGTTATGCAAATATAATTTGAGAGACTAGTTTTTCTTTATAGTAATTTATCTTTTACTTTTTCAGCATAGATAATTTCATATTTGCTCTATTATCTTATACATAATACTTAATGATGCAATTTTTTTAAAAATCAATTTGATAAATTAATAAAGCAGGACCACTTTTCTAAAGTAATTAGGGCTTGATCTAGTTTATTTATTCTGAGTAATAATGATTTAGAAAATGGATGAAGTTACTACTTTCAGATTAAGCGAAACCATAGCAACCAGCTTTAGCATGTGCCAAAATTTTTATTTCTTAATATATTCTAGTTTATAACTGAATTAAGACAGCATATTGTTGAAATTGAGAAAAGAAAAGTAAAAAAAGAAAAAAAAGTGTGCATGTGAAGAAAAAGAAAAAAAAAGATACAATAAAAAACTTTTTTATGAATTTCAGTTAATATAGGAATTCAAATGAATGAAGTTATTTAATTAATATATAAATTTTAAACATAAATTTTTTTTACTTTGTTTCTATATTGTATTTGAAAACCAGAAACAGAAGAAGTGCAATTACCAAATTGTTAATTTTGGGGAAAATTGAATTAAAACTAATAAGAAAAATGCTGGATGATGATGATACTGAATGTACAGTTTGTATGAGTTGAAAAGAAAAGAAAAAGCTAACCAATCATTAATAAATCTTCAGCTTTATTTCATTGACTATCAAATTAATTCCAGTATTCAATTATTTTTTTATTATTTATTTATTTATATATTTCTTTTTTTTTTCTTCCAGATATTCTCAGTATAAATTTCCTTTCAAAAATGCTTCTGGAACATATAGTTTTAAACTAAAGCCTAACTTTTCAACTTCTTCGAAAGAAAATAACAGAACCAGTCAAAACCCTCGATTTTGGCTTGGAATTGGTTTGTTTTCAACCGGCGTTGCACTTTGGTATTTGAAGGATGTGAAGCTGTTAGCTGAAAAACGAAAGAGTATGGTAGAAATTTAATTTATTTAAAATAAGTACAATTTTAATATTATTACTTTCCAGTTTATGAGTTGTGAATTATTTTCTTTTACATTTTTAGGAACATTTCTTGTTTGAGCTGAAAGGTATTGAATTATAGTTTAAATACTGTAAATTCAATTGTGATTCTTTGCAGTCTAATTGAATCTTCTCTTTATAATTATAAGCTCTTTATAATTATAATCTTAATACTTCTTATCAAGATCTTGTACAGTATAAATATGTACATTTTCGCATAATAGCAAAATGTACATAATGTACTTCGAAAATTTATATAATATAATATGTACATTTTTGATACATCTTTAACTTTATTTTTATCTGGCGTACAATGCTTTTTTTCCAAGTTTGTCTTTATAAAACGTAAAATACTTACGCAACAGTCAGTTGAGGTGGTCACAGAGGCATGATTTCAAGGTCAGTAGCATCATGGTAGTACTGGTCATCTTCACTTCTTTGATAGGCTGGTACCCATCATTTTGAAGCTGGATGGGCTTAAAGCTTAGATATATATACTACAATGCCAATTGCGGTATTATAAAAATCATAAAATTGATATTTCTGATTTTTTACACCGTGCTTGCACATTATTTGTGTAAGAATATTAACGTCATGATCTTATTTCCATAAGTTGAGTTAACAATTTTATAATTCAGAGTAAAAAACTTTATAAGACATAAATAAAATCTAAAATTTTTTATTTTCACTAATTATATTGTAAAAGGGATTTTATAAGCTTATGTTGAAGTTAAATTTTTAGAATAATTCTGATGATTCATATTATTTTTTTTTATTATTAATTTATATTTAGAATTAAAATTGAATTTTCCATTTAAAATACAGTACAGAACCCGTTATCCGGAAATCAGAAAACCGGAAAACCAAAAAACCGGAAAGAAATTCGATAAATTTTCCCGCCATTTTTTAAAAAAAAATTTTTTTTTCCTCATAAGATTTTAGAATTTTTCTTTCTTTTTTGAAAGATGTTTACCTTACCATCATTTTGGAAATAATCATTAGTGTATTACTTCATCGTTTTTTCTTCTTTTTAAGATTATTTCCAAAAAAAGTATTTTTTTTAGTTGGGTTTAACAATAAAAAAAACGGCTTTTTGTAGCGATTCAGAAAACCGGAAAAATAAGTTATCCAGAATAGCGATGGTCCCGATCGTTCCGGATAATCGGTTCCCTACTGTAACATAAAACAATTTTAGAAAAGAATGAAGTGAAAGGGAAAAATTAAGTGTTTCTGTAACGAAAAGTGTATTTTTGCGATGCTTATAAATGTACTGTCAAAAACTATTTGAAAAGCATGTACACTAATGAAGAAAATGCTTAGATACTTTTTTTCAATCAGTGATTTTATTATTTGATTTATTTATATTATTTATTTTTTAAGATTGTTTTAAAAAATATTATATAATATTAACTAGTAAGATATTGTTTTTTTCTGGGCATTTTTGATTTAAGGGTTTCAATAAATTTAATTGTAACTATCCTTTATTTTTATTATGTTTTAAAAATTTATTTTCCATGACAGCTTTTTAAAAACAAATATTTTGTGGTTTATTAAAGAAAAAAAGCTTTTTTTTATGAAGATATATAGTTTTATTCTTAAATAAATTTATTGAAAAATAAATTCTTAAACTGATATTTGCATTTATTATTATGAATTCACTTAATCTATATTTTTTTATTCTATAGATAGATCTAATTTTTATAAAAAATAAAATGTGTATATTTTTTTGTTCTTTATTAATAAGATTTGTTAATTTTTTGTGAATATTTTTCTTCTATACAGTAAATAATTTATTTTTTTCAGATTTTAAATTTTTTTTTACATAAAATATTATCAAATCAATAACTACCAATTACTATCAAATTTTTAACCATTATATTATTATGTTATTCGACAATAAATTTTTTAATGTTAGTTACAGTTTATATTTATAATTTTAATTGCTTTTTAATAGATGTAGCTGGTGTTGAAATTGCTGGACTTCCTGAGTTTTCAGCTGATGAAATTTCAAAACATGATAGCATAGAAAAAGGAGTTTGGGTCTGTTTCAAAAGTGGTGTTTATGATATTACAGATTTTATCTCCAAGCATCCTGGTGGTGACAAGATTTTGATGGCTGCTGGGGCATCAATTGAACCGTTTTGGGAGATATTTGCTGTTCATAAAAGTGAGCAAGTATGTTAAAATAATCAATAATTCAAAACTGAGAAAGTAAACACTACAGAGTCATATACATAACTTAAAGACATTAACCAACACAATTAATGAAGTTAGAATTATTCCAAAATTTTCCATTAATTATTATGTTTTATCCTTCCCAGTAGCTTTAAAATATTAGATTAAGCAAAACACTATTTTAGTAGTTCATATCATCAAAACACACATAATTGCATTCAGTATCATTTGGCATGATGCTATTGCATCCGGCCAATTCATGTTAGTCAAAATTTACCAGAATCAATTTTCGTTTTTTTAAAAAAAGTTAGTTAATTTGATTTAAAAGATTACAATACAAAGAGGCATGATTTCAGGGATGAAATAGGCTATTTTGTTGCGAAAACAGCGACCAGACCATGAAATCAAAAAGAAGAAGAAAAATCAAAACAGCATACTATTTTCTTATATCGATTGTTGATCTAGGGGACCACTGATAATTATTTTATGATGGTAAAATTTTAGTTGTTTCAGACCAATAGACCACCATTAATATGGTCCTAAACTATATGAGCATATAATGAATTGTACAGATTATTGGACCACATTCATTTAATACTTCAGAGCTGATTGTGCTCCGGAAAAAGTCCGGATTTCCGGAATTTTCGCTGACAGTGGTCCGGAAGTTTCCGGCGATTGAAGGTCCAGAGGTTGCTAAAAATCATTGATCACAAAAGTTTGCGGAATTCAAATTTTCAAAGGTGGAACTTAAAAATACATTTTATTTATTTGTTTGTAAGGGAGAGCCAGAGATATACTTTATAAGCTTATATTCATGATTAATATTCATTTTTTATCAGTAAATAGTTGTTATAATCATAAACTCAAGAAAGAAAGACATATTTGTAAATTTTAATTGCTTCTCCAGGTCATCATAGGTATGTGTAAATGGTATAGGTATGTGTAAAATTTTAAATATATTTTAAGTAAACTAAGAAATATTGAGAAAAAGGAAAAAAATCCTTGTTTAATTTTTTTCATAATTTTACAATTTAAACCGTCTTTTTTCCGGAATTTTGACTTGGGCTCACAATCACCCCTGATACTTAAGCTTGGGTAACACATTTTCTTAACAGTTCTACTTGTATATATTGTCATGTTAATTATCATTTTTGTAAATTATTGCTTAAGATCAACAAAATTGCGCAAAAAATTTTTTTTTTGTGTGTTACATATTTTCTAATATTCATCGACAATAAGTGTTAAATCACACCTTGTATGCAGGCATAACTGACATTTCGCATTGATTTAAATACGTGAAGGAAAGAAAATTAGTTATAGGCATAAAATACTCTAATTACTTTGTAATAATAACATTATTAACATGTTCTCGAAAGTTTCTTTAATTTAATTCCATCAAATGTTTTTATAATTTTAAAGGGTTCCATTAACATAAAATAAATTTAAGTACATTTCATGTCGACAGAAAGCAATCTAAATTTTTGTGATACTTTTTAATCATCGCAAATAATGCAAAAATCGTTAGATTGCTTCATTTATTAATTGAAAAGTTTTCAAATTTGACAATAAGGATTGAGTGAGTTTGTTTTAAATTTCTGAAATATCATGACAAAATGATGATTTATAACATTTTACCTTCTGTAATGTTCTTAGAAATGTTGACGGAAAACTGAGTTTTTAAAAATTTCAGAGTACATGTTTTCTTAAAACAATGTAAAAAAAAAGCATTTGTGTTTGTGTAAATTTTTTATAGCATATTGAATATTTAAGAAACGTGTTTAGGTATTTATAATAAAGTATTTTTAGTTGTGAATCTTGGGTACCATCTTGAAGTACTATTTATTTTCTTATGTGGTTGATTCATCACTAGATGTCACCAATATAGAGTTTCCCGTGAGAACCACATAAGCATTTTGGTTTTGAATTCCTATACCAAAGAACTCATTAATTTATATCAGATAACTAAATAAAACAAAAGAGTGATTTTTTATGAATCAGTATCACATTAAATTTTTCCTAAATCTTTATTATTAATAGCAGTTGCACTCAAAAAAAATTTTCTCTCAGGTATAAAATTCAGAGTGTTATCACATTTTTTTTTTTTTTTTTTTTTTTTTTTTTTTTTTTTTTGCAATCAAATTACCTAATTGCTTTGCTGCCAACTTTCTACTCTTTTTGTTAAAATTTATTTTAGTGGTACCTAAGTTTATGTTTAAATGCATTATTTTATATTCATTTGAACTTATTCCCCCCACCCCCACAACAACATTTATAAGTTCATATACAATGTCACTTTGCTATATCTCTTTTGCTTTTAAAATATTGCCAAAACTATCAAAAATTCTGAAGGCTTTGGTTCTTAAATGCCTACCATTCTATTAAGTATTTTGCAAAAAGCGTAGTTGTAAGGCCTGTAATTGTAATTTTAAATTAAAAAATAAGTGCATAAATAATTTAGCTATGTTTTTTGTTGAATGAAAATAGAAAAGTAATAAATACTTTAAATAAATGTAAAATTTAGAAATTAAGAATGTAATTTATTAAGTGTATTAAATTTTTATAAGTATGAAAAATAAATGATTTGATCTGTATTGCTGAATACGCAATTAAATAGTTTCTATGGCTGAATGAGCAAATAATCTGCAATGTTTAAATATAAAAGGAAAAATTATTGAAATTTTTCTTATGGATACTATAAAAATTTTAATAAGAATGATGTGTAATTTAAATCTATTTATACTATATTAATAATATGTTTTATATTATTCAGAAATATTTCATAATGTAGCTTTTCTTTTAAATAACATTAAATTTATTCAATTAATTTACACATAATTCTAAAAATGTGCAGTTATAAACATTTGGAAACATATTAGTTTTTGAAATATTTTTTGTAGAACGTTTAGCTANGAATTTTTTTCTGTATGATTTTAATGTAGTTGTAAGGCCTGTAATTGTAATTTTAAATTAAAAAATAAGTGTATAAATAATTTAGCTATGTTTTTTGTTGAATGAAAATAGAAAAGTAATAAATACTTTAAATAAATGTAAAATTTAAAAATTTAGAATGTAATTTATTAAGTATATTAAATTTTTATAAGTATGAAAAATAAATGATTTGATCTGTATTGCTGAATACGTAATTAAATAGTTTCTATGGCTGAATGAACAAATAATCTGCAATGTTTAAATATAAAGGGAAAAATTATTGAAATTTTTCTTATGGATACTATAAAAATATTAATATGAATGATATGTAATTTAAATCTATTTATACTATATTAATAATATGTTTTATATTATTCAGAAATATTTCATAATGTAGCTTTTCTTTTAAATAACATTAAATTTATTCAATTAATTTACACATAATTCTAAAAATGTGCAGTTATAAACATTTGGAAACATATTAGTTTTTGAAATATTTTTTGTAGAACGTTTAGCTATTAGCTCAGAATTGTTCTGATCTTTTGCTGTAAAACGCAGTATATAACTTAGGTGCTTCAATCGCAAATTCAGTAAACATCTTTACAATTTTGATTCCGAAATGAAAGAAATTGAAATATTAATAATTCAAAAAAGAAAAACCTGCAATTTAAAAGTTAAGGCTACAACTCTTAACCGAAACATAAGTTTTTATTTTTTTGTCATAAATGGCATTTGTGTGGCTAACAAACAATACAATTTGCTTAAAACCAGTTTATAAAAATATATATTTTGTTTATAAATCATTAATTCGTCTGAAATTTTTAATATTAAAAAGAAAATCCAACACCGCAAATTAGATTTAATAGAAGGATAATGGAAGCTTACCGGTTTTTTAAATTTCTGTTACTTTTATATACTTTATTTATTTCCCTTTGCAATAACTTAATTAAATTGTTTAATGTATTATTTATTAATAACTTTAAAATGTTCCAAGCATTTTTTTTATACATTATCTCATTTGCTTTTAAAAAAGAAAAATGTATTTAATAAATTATATATCATTGCTATCAAAGATCATTAAATAAAATGCTAATTTTAATTAAATAACTTTTTAAAAAGTTTATTTGTTTGGGTATCTTATACATTAAAGGAATCTGAAACGAAAAATCTGTATAAAAAATTTGCTGAATAAGCGTATCAATAAACTTTGTAGACCAAAATAATTCCATATTTAGAATTTGATAACTAGTTACTTGCTGATAATTAATATTTTCGTGCAAAAATTATTATAATTATCTGAATCACTCATAAATCAACTAATTATAATTTTTTAAATTTAATTTTGCATCATTCAGTTAATTATGGAAACAGCAATTAACAATTATTAAAAACTTTTACTCTGCAATGTCATCAATCTATTTCATAAATATAAAATAGTTTAAAAAAAAGCATCGAAATGAGAATATAAATACTGTTAATAATTTTACATCTACTGCCGGATTGTAAATATCATGTAACTGTGAAGTAACTCTCTTGGCTCAGAAGGCTCTTTGTGTTCTTTTGAAATTAATGAATAATAATTTGATTAGTGTCTACTGTAATAAATTTATGTTTTATGTGCATTTATGAGATTTATGTGCTATTTTCTTATATTTAATATTTTTTTAGGTCATGGAAATGTTAGAGGAATATCGAATAGGAAATTTGAGACCTGATGATAGAGGTTTAAGTATTGATAAGTCAAACGATCCTTTTGCTTTAGACCCGAAACGACATCCTGTGTTACAGCCTCGTTCAAAGAAACCTTTTAATGCTGAACCACCTGAAGATCTATTGGTAGAAAATTTTTTGACACCAAAGTAAGAATATTGTTATCCATTTATTTTCAATTTTTAAAATTTATGTGTTGAAATATTTATTGCAAAAGCAATTGTATTCATCCCTGTGGCGGAATTTTTTCGAGCTTTCTGCAACAATTCTCTCTAATATTAATACTTTCTGAGAGACATTTATTATAGTAGCAAATATATATGCAACTAATTTAAAGTAGCAGAAGTGCTTTTTGTTTACAAAAGGAAAGCCTTCATATATAAAACAGAACAGTATATGTTTTTTAAAATTATAAATGTAAGAATTTTTTTAAAAATCTAAATATAAAAGAATACATATTCTAATGTTATTGGAAATATTCTCCTGTTCTAAAAAATGTTTGTATAGCTAACCTTTTTGTAAGTTTTGGTATTTGGAAGCTACTTTTTATAATATCAATCTGAAATTCTAGCTAAAGCCAATCATTGCGAAAAAACTTTTTTTTATTAAAAGGGAATAATAAAAATAAAAAAATCATGAGCATTTTTTTTCCACCTATGATGGGTGAGAAAAGTATTTTTTGTATATAATTCTGCAGAAAGGGGGAAAAAAGTTATGTCGGAAAAAAATATGTTGAAAATTTCTGGAGATAAAAAACCTCAAACTTCTTTGGTTCCCAAATAAAAAATCTTATACTAGGCAATATTCTGCGACAATGTTGCCCTGTCACCACGATTCTGCCAGGAAGGTATCTTTAATATCTTTGTAAATGTGTGATATAATTTCCTTTATTTTGATTTCTTGTAAGTATACAACATGTTTTTTTTCTGTGATCTCTCACATTTCTTAGGCTCTCTTCCCCTTGCTCCTAACTGGCCATGGGGAATAAATTCATTCACTTCCAATGAACAATTTTTGGCGGCTGGGGGTGCCCTTTTGTGCTTCCCAGTTCCAACAGTTGAATAAAAAATTGCTAACTAAAATTCTCAATGTAAGATAGTTTTGTCTAGATCCATTTAAGGGATTTCTATTCTTTATTATATTTATATTTTTGAATTATGGCCATTTTCAATAATTAATAAATCAATTTTCCTTTGACGATTTTATTTATTACTCTGAGACAATTATCATGTTATTACATCCAAATGAAGATGTATCTGTAACAGCCAAGAAGTCAAATAATGCTACCTGTATAAATCCACTAATTAATTTAAAACAATCACTGTCATTCTAATATATATATTTATATTTTTATCACAAATTTCTACAGTTATCTTTGAATTTTTTTCTGTATGATTTTAATAACTTTAAAAAAAATATCATTATAATTATTTCCAATTTTGTATTTATTTAACTATCATATTAATTTAGTTAAAATAGCTTTCAGCATTAGATTTCTGAATTTTCATGTCCTTCTTCCTAGCAGATCTCTCTTTATCATACATATTTCTCTCTCCTGAAGGTGCCTATTTTGTTAAAGTTTACCTGAACTAAAATTCTGCTCAAAAGTAAAATATGTCATGCTTAAACAATTATTTCAGATCGATTATCAAGAACAGATGGAATAAATACATGGATTTTCCAAATTACAATTATTTTTTATGAATAGTTTTAAGGCTACTATAATTCTGAATAGAGTTGTGTCAAACATAAATGAATGTTACCAGTTAAAATGGGTCTGGGTACCCTGTACTGGGTAGTGATATTTTTTTGTCAAGGCTGGGTAATAACCTTGTAACATCTCTAGCTTTAAATCTTGTCTTCCTTAATGGTGGTTTTTCAGATCTTTTTTACTGTTTTTGTTTTTTTTTCCTTATGCAAATATCATTTCATATAACTATGGAGCTCACTTTTTTTTTTAAAATTTAATCTTACTTTTAGCAATGATTCGTAAAATTTTAAGATAGGTGATTTGGGAATGCTTGTTATAGACTTTTGTTTTTTTATTTCAGTGAGGTATTTTTTGTTCGAAATCATCTCCCTGTGCCTCTAGTCGATCCTGATGAGTATGAATTAGAAATTGAAGGAATAGGTATTAAAGAAATCACTCTGAATCTCAATGATATTAAAACAAAATTTAAAAAGCATCAAATTACTGCTGCCATACAGTGTGCTGGAAACAGACGCACAGAGTTAAATGCTGTAAGTTAGCTGATTATTTCATTTGAAATTTTCTGTAAATAATAAAGTACAATAGATTTTTTTATTTAGTCTGTGGACATGAAAAAGAATACATTTATGAATTATGAATTTATTTTATTTATTAGACAAGTGATAGCCTAACATCTATTGATGTAATTTGAACAGTATTTATTTATTTTTAAAAAAAAATTAATTGGATACCAAGTCGCAGAACTTTCTGTGACTTCCGGTATTGTTGCTTTCTTTCAAAAATTGACTTTGAATTTCAAATAATAGACCATAATTATTGCAGCTCATAAAAATGTGCATTCATAAAAAGCAAGTAACCATACTTACACACTGAAATTTTTTTTATAGCTAATAAATTAAAAATGTATGCAGTACTGTAAATCATGCACTAATAAGTATTGTGAATATTAATCACCCTTAAGCCATTTATAAAGATTTAACATTTTTCATCGATATTTTGTTTTTTAAAACGATAAAAATAATCTGTGGCTAAACACAATAATCTGCAACCAACACTAACATATTATATAGTTTCTGCTACTGGGCTTGCATGTTGAGTTTGCTCATCCTTTTTCATTACTATTTTAAATATGCTTTAATTTCTATCATTGAAGTCACTTCTAAATGCCTTTATTATAGCGAAGAAAATTTAATATTCTTAAAAATACTGCTTTCACCCTGAAGGCAGTATTTTTAAGAATATTAATTTTTTCCAACAAACTAGTTTAATGATTCTTTTGTGTATTTTCGTACATTTTACTCTATTGCTTTAAAAATGGATAAAGTGCCTTTTTCCTCCAATGAACAAATCTAGGAATATGAATCTATGGAGTTATAGTTAGTTTGTTAGAATTTATTTCATTATAAATTAGAAATTGTTCCCTCAATTTAAAATAGATTATGATATATTGATATCTTTGATGTAGAGAGCATTATCATTTGTAAGTGTTATACAACAAATGTTATCTTTTAATATACTATTTTAATGTTATTTTGTCATTTCTTAGTTTCAAGTCCCTTTAAATACTTAAATGTAATGATGCATCTAAATTCTTTAAGTTGAAATGACAATTTATCATTTTCATTAATCATTCATTATCAATTTATGATTTATATTTTGTTATAATTTTGATTTAATGTAAATGCTTAAATATAAGGATGACATATCAAAATTCTTTTAATTTATTCTATTATTTATCATTGTTGTAATAATCACTGTACTTTTAAACAACATGGCTCCTTTGAAAATACTGCATCAAGGAATATAAATTTTTAATTCTTAGCAATTTAAAATGAAGAAGGAATAAAAAACATTTTATTTTGCTAAAATGTTACCATTAATAAACTTTGTATGTTGAACTTAATTCATAACTTGTAAGAAGTAGAATAAGAAGTTGGCATTAATTCCAATATTAGCTATCAGCTTGCTTTATGATCAATGTACCTTATCTCATGATATAATTAATTTTTCCTGAAATTATGTATTTGAAGGTTTAAAAAGTGTCAATGTTTTATACCTATTTGAAAACTTAATTTTTTACACATTAAAATTTAAGAAAAGATATTAGATATTTCTTTAAAACCTGGTTTGTATTATATTTAATAAAATATTGTATAAACTGTTTAAGATTGTATGAACTGTAGTTTTTTTTTATTGTAGTTTTTATTGTATTTTCTTAAAAGTTATTTTTATTTTATTGTTAAGCATGTTTTATATTTAAAGTGATGTAGTTTTGAAATGCTTAATGGCAATACCTCCTTATAGTGGAAAACAAGTAAGTCAAAAGCTGTTGTTCTCTAATTAAAGGAATCATATAAAATTTCTGCATTCATATTTTCTTATATATAAAATCTTACTATCTATTTTACTTATGTACAGTATAAGTATTATATACTTATCCAGCTATGTTTCAAAGTTTTTATTGGCAAAAATTATTTTAAAGGCAGGCATTCAGTAATGGAAAGAAATTAATAAAGATAATAAAACGTTTGCATATCGTATTATATTAGCACATGTAGCAGTTCATGACTTATTTTATACAAATAATACTTAAATTGCTTTTCAAATTTTTCATAACTATCAAACTGCTGCTGCATTTATGACCCATAATGTCATTTAATATGCTTTATTTTATTTAAAAATAATTGGCATATCATATTTCATTAAAAAAAAGTTCCCTAATATGAAGAAAATAGCAAAATAAATAAATTAAACTTTTTTTAAGAAACTGTTTTCTTAGTTCCAGATTTGGAATTTTTTTTAAATTTTTAATTTTGAACTTTTATTTTTCAATAAAATAAAACATACCAAGACACTCTTTGATTAACTAAGTTATTGAACCGCAGAAGTATATGAGTAGAAAATTTAAAAACTAATTTAAGTATATTCCTTATAGAAAATATGAAAGCAAAATTTTACTATGGTTTAGCATTGGGTGGCAACAGTCTTAATTCAAATTATTATTTAATATTTTTCCAAAAATATCTGCTGTTCAATTATAGTGACTTTGAACAATATTTTTCATAATTTAATAGGGATATACACTGGTTCCTACTTCTCCTTCTGCATGTGTCTATCGTGGTCTAATCAGATAAAGCCAATGCTACCATTTCAGTCTAAATGTGAAGCATGGCAACTGGTAAAATTCTTACTGCAACTCTATGTGTATTTATGAAAAAAAAAATGCAACTGAAGCATGAATGTGTGATATTAAGTATAAAGTAATAGTCTTTAAAAGGGCAGCATATCTACTCACGTTTTAAAATGTGTGTACTCTCGTCGGGAGAAAAAAGAGCACAAAAACTGATAATAAGTCTGTTTTAGAAAAGAATATTTACAACTAGAAAAGTATTTACCATTGTAGGCTTTTATTCAGTCTTTATTTGCCAATAGGAACTAAATTGCAGAGCATGAGCTAGCCGAGTTATCTCAAATGTTACTCGTGGTGATTATTTAAACTCAGAACCCTTTCCCACAGAAGTTTCGGGAAATAGAATGACATAGGATGAGACATTAGAGATCATTAGTATATCAAACATTATGTTTTAAAATGAAATTACACTATTATTTGTACTTTAATTAAAATAGTTGATGAAAACATCCAAAGATTTCAAATATTCCACAATACCATCTGTGTTTCCATATTGTGTTGTATTGTTTATTGTTTCTGTTATTGTTACACCTGTAATAAACACATTAATACACTTACAAAAGCATTAGAACTGTTCACTCCACATCACTTTTCTTACTAAATTAAATTTCAATTGTGTAATTAATTATTACACTATTGTGTAGAATATAATAACACATTTGTCTAAATTTTTATTAAATGTTGATCTGATCTGATTCAACAAATTGTTTGGTGCAACTTTACATTCAATCAATCAATCTCTATAATGTTCTTGCAATTTCGTATTTTCCCCTAATTTGTGCTTCAGTTATTACTTTCACTAGAAGTTACATTATATATTGCACTAAAATAATGAAGAGTATATATTGGATTGGAATTAACAAATTATCTTTGATAATTAGGACATATAATTAATTTTCAGTGTAGACTAGTTTTGTTTGTGTGATACATAAGCTTGCATCTATTCTTATTAAAAATATATTTCATTTTTTTCCTCGACTTTTTGTAGGTAAAAGAAGTCAAGGGCTTAAGTTGGGGTGGTGCTGCAATTAGCAATGCTGAATGGGCAGGAGCAAGATTATATGATGTTTTAAAATATGCTGGTGTTGATTTTGATGATCCGAAGATTCAACACATTCAATTTGAAGGATTGGATATGGATCCTGCAAACTGTCCATATGGTGCATCGATTCCTTCTATTAAGGTGATTTCTAAATTACTTCCAACTTAGCTTTTTATAAAATTGCTAAGATTCTGCTTTTCATCTGGAGGAGAAAATATCTGGTAACAGAAAAAGATTTTTGCTCTTTTTTTTAAAAATACATTTTGCTATTAATTTAGCTTTTTGATACATTTACCTCTTTTCCATAATTTTTTTTAATCTAAACTGTTATCTTTTAATTTATAAAGACATATAAACATTTATTAACTTTAAGTACTTTAACATAGAACAAAAGGGTGTTAGGACATCATTGTTAAAGCCACTTTTCACAGTTTATAAATTTATTATCTGCATCTATTTTTCTAAATAGTTATGGAAAAACCTTATACTACATTTGTGATGTGCATTAATGCAATTTAAAACAGATGATACAATCTAGAATTCTTAAGAAAATTTCTTTAATTTAAGTATATTTTCTTTATTCACATAGAATGTTTCCATTAAATTTATTAATTAATAAATTATTATAAATATTTGTGATCATGGAAAACTTGTACGATTTTGCTGTACAATGTATGAGTTTGCTGTATTTTTCTAATGGCCACATTTGTAGCTAAAGTAAAAAAAAAAATTAAGTTTGATATGTGTTTTTAACTTTTTATTTTTCTAAATGTACAATGTCGATCTTAATTTAATAAATCTGTCATTAACTGTAAGAAAATGGGAGAAAATATATAATCTATGAATAGTGTTTTTAGAGATTAACAAAGTTAATTCAAAATTTATTGCATCATGTACAAATTTCAGTTCTGAATTTTATGATGAAAAAAAAAAGAAATATATTTACAAAGGAAAAAATTTAGCTTATTATTATTATTTTGCTAACTAAAATTTTAGCAAAATTAAAAAAAAAATTGATTCTAATATCTTTACTGCTTTTCTTTAACTTATAAGAAATTAGACAAATATGATGATTACTATTATAAAAATCTTACTAGGAACATCTTATTACAACATATTTTTCCTTGTCAAGAGGAAGAGCATATTTTTCCAATCAATGGTACCAAATTAGAAAGTATCATGTAGTCTGAAAAACAAATCTTGTAACAGAATTGAAAGCAATGTGGGTTTGTCATTTTAAAAAGAAATACATCTTTTTGAAGGCACTCTCAAAATAATTTTATAATACTCAAGACTAAGCAAAGTCTTTAAAAAATTTTAATAGTCATGTGAAATTTTTTTTACAAGCTTAATATTTTTCCCCCCAGGATCTATTAATATTATTAAATTTTGATGTGCCACTTATCCTGTAAGCTAGATAGTTCTATATCATCATTTTAGAAATTTGAAAAATCACTATTTTTTGCTATTTCATAGCTATTGATGTTTGAAAACAAAATTTGGTAAAAATTATTCTTTATTCTACTTTCTATTATTTGGTTAAAGAAAAAATAATAAATTCTTTAATTTAGTAAATGATGTTTATTAGTTTAGTTGTTGAACAATTTAATTGTTTTCATTAGTTTATTTGTTGAAAAGTTTGGTTGCTTTAATTAGTTTAGTTGTTGAAAAGTTTAATTATTTTTTATGTGTTTAGTTGTTGAACAATTTAATGGTTTTCATTAGTTTATTAGTTGTTGAAAAGTTTTGTTGTTTTCACTAGATTAGTTGTTGAAAACATTTAGCTTTATCAATTTATTTTCTAGGCCCTCGATCCTAAAAATGATGTACTACTTGCATATGAAATGAATGGTAAAGAATTGCCTAGAGATCATGGATATCCTATAAGACTTGTTGCTCCAGGAATTGTTGGTGCAAGGAATGTAAAGTGGTTGGGAAAAATCATTGTAAGTGATGAAGAAAATAAAAGTCATTGGCAAGTAAATGATTACAAAGGTGAGAAGCACAAAAAAATATTACATAATGATGTGAAGTTGACAACATTGTTTTATGCTATGATCTTGTGTAGTTGAAAATGTTGTTTCATACAATGATTTGCAGAAATTTTATTAGAAAAGCACACATCATTTAGGATATTGTTATTATTGATTAAGAAATAAGGAACTGATTTAGTTTTTACTTAGAACCTTTAAACACATAATTCTTTAAAGTACATTTTCTAAAGTGAGTCAAAAAATAAATATTGAGGTAATATAAGTAAAATATTAATTATTATATTACATTTTATTTTCGTTATCTTATTTACAATGTTCCACACTGTCACTGTTTGGTCTGATGCTCATATAATATTACCATATGCTCAAAGAATTATTATTTTAATTGGAAGAAGTTTTAACTTTAAGTTATAATGTATCTTTAAAATATGCAAAAGATATTATTATATTTCTTGCATCTTTAAATTTAAAAACTAATTTGGAATTTTTTATTTTGACAGGCTTAGAGTAGGATGATTTCTATGCTGTTAAAGATCGGCTCTAGAAGTTATTACTCGCTGAAATAGTTACTGTGTTAAAAATATTCAAATTATTTCTTTCTCCTCAAATGAAAATCTATGTTATTTTTTTTAAATAATTTTCTTCATTGTAAAAAGGGGCTAAAAATTATATCTCTTTACATGCTCAGGGCATGTGAAAGTTGGAGAGGGTATATATTCTTTACCTTTATTATATGACTAGGTATATTAATATTTAATTAGAAATACTGTGAAATACTGATTAAGTATACCTCAAATTTTGACCAAGATGTCAGATGAGACTATATATATATAGAGAGAGAAAGAGAATCTATTATGTTTGTCATCAACAATTTATTAATAAATTTTTTTCTTTTTTATAACCCATATTATACCAATTTTTATTACAAAAAAGCTTACGCTAATTGTTGTTCCTAAGTAAATAATCACTATAAAAGTTTATAGTTTTGTTTTTTGAGTAACATGTTGAAGGGCATGCACAATCGACAGTTACTTGAAAGAATTAGAAAAACGGAGCAAAAGTGTAACAAATTACTCAGTTCAAAAAACCAAAAAAGTCATTGTCATGAAAAAACATTTTTATAAAAAAATTATGGATTGAATTATAGTATGAATCTATAAGATTATGGTGTCAAGCAGTAAATTTTCTTTAAGGTTATTAAAAAAAAATAAACAATGCATATTAACAGACATAACTTTCTATATATTCACATTTTGTCTCACCTTGTCCAAAACAAAATTAAGTACTACAGCAATTAATTAAAATTAAATACTTTGACCTACAACCTAATTGGAAGATACAGTTTCATTTCAACTCATCTATATTTATTACTACTGAAAAGGTGCCAACTTATTCCCCAATTTGCCTGACTTTTGTAATTGGAGGCTGTTGGAGACTAAAATAAATACTGAAAAGCAAATAAGTTTGGATTCTTTTTAAATTATATGAATAAGTAGAACAAACTACCTTTTAAACTTACTAGTGATAACTATCAAATAATGTACAAGATTGCTGTTTGTAATTAGCAATAATAACAGTTAATTCAAGTAATAACTTCATATTATGTAAAATACATTAAAACTTTAGTCGTTTTTTGTTACTAGCTGTAAAAAATCGTAATTTAATTGTTACAACAATATTTCCTCATTGCTCTATAATTATCAATTGAAGCAATTTAGTAATACGCTAAATTTTTTTCCAAAGCTTGACATTTTTAAAGAAAATGTTTTCAAAATATTGTTGTTATGTAGGTATTTTACAGATTTTCCCACTAAATAGCAATATAATTTCCGGAAACATCTTATAGCCAGCATATGGAAATTGTGTTTTTCAACTAAAACACGATTGAAAATTTTGCTTTTCATTGTATGGCTCCTATCCCAATGTTGTGCTAAATTTTTTTTTATCCAGTAACACTACAGAAAGTGGATGTGGACAATTCATTCTACAAATACATACGAAGCTCAGCAATGACCACCTTTAATATAAACTTTTAGAATTCTTGTTAAAAATGAAGTAAAAGAAATTTACACATTAAGGGTCTCAAATTATTGCATATACTAGGATAAACAAGATGGTTGGACAGTGTTGAGAAGGACTTAAAATTGTTGGGAATAAACAGGTAGAAAAATCTAGCTCAAAGTCGCCCTGCCTGGAGGCAGCTAATTGAGAAAGCCTTGACCTGCACTAGGATGTAGTGCTGATGAAGAAGAAGGATAATGTACCAATGTGATCGAAAGTATACGATTCGCTACTGAGGAAGTGAGATCCGGCCATCACTGCTACTGTATGGAACCATGTTTATGAAAAACCCTTTAAAGTTTCATAATGAAATGAAACTGCTTGTTTTCAGTTCCGTCTTCCCAAGGAACGAGTCAGTAGATTTTGCTAGCGTTTGTATTTCTTTCCTTCCTTAAATATATACTTACAATTCCTTATATGTATATTGTTTTATTTTATTTTCAACCAAGATTCTTACAACATACTCAACCTAAAAATCTGGCTAGCAAAAATAAACAGAACATACAGTTTATGAGTCATCATACTGATTACAATCCTACATATCTCTTAAATTTATGTAAATTTACAAACCTTACAATTTTGATGATTGAAATTTGTGAAACATTCAATTTTGCTCTTTTGTTTTAGGATTTTCCCCATCAACGACCTGGGAAAATGTCGATTTCTCTTCTGCGCCTGCTATTCAAGAGCTTCCTGTTAATTCAGCCATTTGTAAACCCTCTGAAAACAGTAATGTCACTTTGGAGGATAATTGTTTGAAAGTAGAAGGCTATGCATGGAGTGGAGGGGGAAGGAAAATAGTGAGGGTGGATATCACTGTTGATGGTGGGAAAACATGGCATAAAGCTGATTTGCAACAAGATGACAGTCCTTTATATAAATGTTGGGCTTGGACTCTGTGGAATGTAAGTTGCTTTTAAATATTGTAACTTATTTTAATCTTATTAATGTGCGTGTGAATATGTATAAAGCTTCCAGATAATGTGCATGCCTCTTCATCGCTATTAATATTTTGTGTAGTAATTTATCTTACAATAATTCTGATCATCTTAATAATCTTATTTACAATTTATCTTATTTTAGTACAATAATTATATAATTTTTATTATACTTATGAATTATATTAAGAAATAGGATATTTGATTAATGATAATGTGGTAGTGCTTCGCGCTCCCGTGCCACAGGTCCTGGGTGCGATCCTCGGGCCGGGCAAGGTTGAGTTCCATCTATTTAGTGGGTCGATAAATGAGCATCAAGCATGCTTGGGAACTAAACACTGGGGGTTCTGCATTCGGCTGACCACCCAACCAGAACATCTGCTTCTGCACCCCCCCCCCCCCCNCCTAAAGTCCAAGGTCAAAAAAACTCAGATGGGCACAGTAGGCCTTTGGCTCTCTATAGGCTGTCGCGCCACTGAGTTTAGTTTAGATTAATAATAATTGATATTCAAAATTTCTCTCAATTTTTACATCTAGCAAATTATTTCTCATATAAGAGAAACTGTAAAATCAAACTAAAATCCTTCTGAGCAATTTTATTTGCTAATAAATAAAACTTTTCAATGATTTTGTATTTTTTACTATCAAAATACATACCTGGAAATTTATGAATCAATATTTTTATTTTAAATCCTCCTCCTATAAATCAATTTAATTGCAATAACTAATAATGTTTCTAATTTAAAATTATTTTAACCCGATAATTATTGCATTTGACGAAAAAAAAAATATGTAAGAAGTCCTATATTTCAACTTCTTATCTTTATAAATTTAGAAAACATAATCTAATAAAACAATTATAAAGGAATAATATTCAAATGTTTTCACTTCTCAAGCATAAAATGTCTCTTTTTAAACATTCCTGTTTTCTTTTTCTCTCGTCTTTAGGCAAAAATTCCGGTTGATGTCCAAGGGGTAACTGATTTACAAATTATATGCAAAGCTATTGATTCATCCTATAACAATCAACCAGATTCCTTCCCACCTATATGGAATTTACGTGGGGTCTTGGGTAATGCATGGCATAGAGTAAATGTAAAAGTTTGTAAATAAATTAAGTTTTTATTTATTTTGTTATTCATGTATATATGTATGGATTTATATGAATTGAAGAACAATAAAATTTATAACAAAACTTTCTTAATAATATTTATTATTTATAAAATTAATCTACATAGTAATTACTACTTTCTTAATATTTATTATAATACATTAATCTTCAGAAAATATTTAAATCTTTTATTAAAAACATATGTAATGACTAGCAGAAGTAATGATAACCATTATTAAATACAATGAATTTTACACACCAATAAATTACAGCCTTCTTTAAAATATCATCACAATTTCATTTAAATTATATGGATAAAAAAGAGAATTAACTCAGGATTTAAAATATCTATTATCATAATAAAACCATCCTATTTACTTAATAAGTAAGAAAATATATTCAATTTTTAATAAGTCTTATAATGCTCTAAAGCAATGTGCTCCAGTTACTGTGCAACCATAATAAAAATATTCCAATTTTCTATAAAATGCTATGTAAAAGTATCATTCATTTTTTAAAATCTAAACTGTGTCTGATGTCTCATTGGCATTTGAGAAAGCACTTATGGGTAAAAAAATATTATGGATTCCTAAATTAAAAGTGTAAACCCAATTTTTTAAAAAAAATATGCTGTCTACAATTAAATATAAAATCTGCAAGAAATAAATCATTGAACACTCTCTGCATTGATATGTTTAGAGTCAAAAACTTTCTGAACGATTTGACTTTTTGACCAAAAGTGCATCTTTAGAAGAGGGAACACTTTTAGTTCATTTTTTAAAGAGAGCGCAAGTATAAATTGGTTAATAAAGGGACTATTAGAAATAATGATTAGAAACAATTTGAGGCACTACAACTGATGACACTTGAATGCTACAGGAAGAATAACTGTCACCACTTAAATATTAAAAGTGGTCATAGAAAAATTTTGATCACAAAATATTAATTTTTAACGATATGCAATTTTTGTTTGTCATCATTGTCTTGCATATTTTCTTAAATATAGGTTAACTGAAAAAGTTTTTAGTGACATTTTTCCAGTCCTTATTTTATGGCTTTTTGGCACTCATGATATGTGGAGTAGTAGTGAGATTTTATTGACATTCCAGGGAGCTAATTTACAAACTAGCGGCCTTTAACAACTTGCTGTCTATTTTAGAGATTTCCCTCTTGGCTGTTATTAATCTTAATTATAATACACACATATAGTTTTTTAAAAAATTTGTTATCCGAATTGTAAAATAAAATTTAAGATTAGAGTTTTTTTTAATTTTTTTTTTTTTTTAAAGAAAATGTTAAACAGGAGAGCAGGTTGTTAAAGGCTGCAGGATTGGAAAAATCACCTCTAGGGCAGGGATAACAAATTTCCACCATGGTGCAAAGGAAAAAAAAAATGAAAAACTGTCCCAGGAGAAATAGGTTTATCTCAACCCAAGAGAAAGAAATGAAATTTTTTTTTAAATCTAAAACATTGGATAAGATTTATTTCTTTTTAGTGTCCTGGGGGAAGTAATTTTTTTCTAAAACAGGAGGAATTCAGGAAAATGAAAGATTTTTTAATTCATTTAGCTCCAAGCAACACAGGCACAGTAAAAAATATATTTTTCAACAATACTAATGCAAAAAAAAATTTTTTTTAATCAACAAATTTCTAAGTTTATAAATTTTAAAATTCCAATCATAAAATAATTGTGGATTTAAAATTATTACTCATGAACAATTTATCTATTTTAAAATTATTCTTTTTAATCTGACACTGCAAAACTAAAATGCTTCCCAACAATATATGCAGAGTTTTAATTTAATAAATCTAAAATTTTGTTTTCCTAAGACAGCTACCGCTCAATTTATTATTTTTTAATAAATGAGCTTAATATTAACTACGTAAAAATAAAGCTCATTTTAGTACAACAAAGAATAGAAAAGAAAATAACTGTATATTGATGTTATTATTAATTAATAGCATTAATTCTTATATTTTAATTTTTTAAAGATTTACAGTATTGTTTTGTAATAATTTAGTGTTTAAAAATAATTGCTTTCACGAAGTATGAAGCTTAAAATCCTGATGAGTAATTTACAAAATTGTTTAAAATGTGCAGTACAGAAAAACAATAAAGTAAATATTTTAACCTATATGCAAGCTAACTAAATCAAAAGTATTTAAATTATAAAATTATACAATATTTTTAAAAAAATCATACAAATTTTAACAAAAATTGCTTGTATAAAAAGTATTTCACCATAATTTTAACAGAAAATTGTACAAAAGTTGATGCCATAAATTTGGGTTATCCAAATATGCAGGATGCCTTCCATTAGGTATTTCTTGACACTGGCTGTTTGGCAATAAATTTAGTAAAGCTGAGCTTCGAGATCTATCCCTTTCTCCAAACACTACCATTGTTGGTGTCTGAAAGAAAAATTATTTTTGTTAAACTTAACATTTTAACCTAATATTAACAGCATAATTTATTAGTTATAACTATCTGTACCAACCTATTTTCATGCAGAATAGTCTTACCAATCAAAACAAACTTTTTATGTTATTCGTTATGAAACTTTTGCTGACAGATTGTTCCAGTAAAAGAATAGAAAGTGGAACATCATACCAGTATAAAATTTTCAGTTAAAAGCAATCAAATAAAAATTACATATCAAACTCACCTAAAAATAAATAGCAAAAATTACCTGGTGTAGAAGAATTATCATTTGTGTTCAACTTGTTTTTTCCCCCAAAATAATAATTTGAATAAAAATTTTTTTTATCACTGTTAACTAACAGGAAATATTTATAAAGAAGCAATTATGACTTTTTTTTGATTTTAAAAATAAAGCCTTTTGGCAAGATCTTCAATTATAAAGGAGGAATGCAACAAATTTTATTAAAAATATATTCTTTTTAAAGGAATCTACAAACTTTTTGCCTAATATTTTTCCAAATGTCTCTACATCTACGACAAAAAATGAAAGACAAAACAGGTAGCATCAAATTTTTATCAAATAATTACACGAATTCTGCATACTCAAAAACCAAACACAAGCCTGTAAGTTATAGGAGTTTTTTGAATAAAAAAATATTGTTTTTCATTTACAAGATATGCTACAAAAAGTGATATGGTTACAAAATAAAGAAATATACTAGCAACTATAAACAGAAAAATACACAGTTTTTTATGCTAATATACATACATTAAAGAAAAATATTAATTTCAGAAAATTTAATGATTTTTCAAATGGCAAAAAGAGCAAAATAAGTTTGTAATAAAATAATAGTTAGCCGTTATACAAGCAATGTGTAAGATTACTATGGTGGACACTATGTGTTTCACTGGTAGCTGCAGTTACTCTACCATAGTTTTCTCATTTCAATATCTTTTTTTGTTATATTCTTTTAGGTTTAGTTAGGTTATAATTATTTTGTGACAGATATTTATTTAAGTAAGTAGATAGCATAATTTAATAAAAAAAATGAGAACAGAAAAAATTATGCAATTTTAAAGCTATGTTTTAAGTGATAAATGATTTTAACCTTATATTACAAATTTAGTTTTCAAGTTATTTTTTACTGCTATTTCAGTTCAATTTTCAGTATTTTATGAAATTCGGAATAGTTAAAATATAGCCTGATTATTAGTTAAATATAAAATAATTAATGAAATAGCTAGTTTTACTGATGATAAATTATATTTATACATTACAGGATGAATAAATAGTTAAGTTTATACCAGTAAACATATTATTATGTATATTTGTTTTAAATACTTTTCTCGCATTTTAGACATTGAAATAAATTTATAATGTTTCTTTTATAAGGTCAGGTGGGATAAAGAGGGTGGTATATGGGGGAAAGTGGGCATATGTTAAAAAACATCTATTTTCTCCTTTTAAATTGAGATAATTCATTTAATATTTTTAGAGACATTTACTGGGATTTCTGGCAAGCATTTTTATTTCAGTTTTAGAAACTGATAAATGTTTACAAACTATCTGTTTATGATCAACTCATACAAGTCAGTTTAAGTTGCTGATGAACTTTCTTCTAATATCATTAAAAACTGGCAAAAACTATTATTTAACAAAAATATAAAACTATTCTAAACTAGTAGAGGGACACCTAAAGGACAGATCTACATAAAAATTTAAGAATAAATTTCAAAATTCCATTTATTATGAACTGTTTTCTGAGGTATGGAAAAGTGGTTAAGCTTAGTCAAGTGTTGTATAAAAGGGATATTTTTGTATTTTGTGAACTATATTTAATAATAAAATAGCTTAAAAATAATTTAGTCATTTTATTATAGCCCTACATAGTAACTTTAACTATGAAAACAAAATTTCTATTAAATTTCATTTTTTAAAGATAAGAATGATAATAACAATATCACGTATTATATAATTAAAGAAATTACCAAAATAGTATAATGGTACAACTTAGTGAGCATATTTAAAGATATAGATAAGTTTTCATGCAAATTTCTGCCTTTATATGGCAGTTTTTTCATGGAAAACAAAATTACATTATAATAATTACATGTATTATATAAATAGAAAAACGCTATGAATTACCACAAAAGATATTAATTGTTACACTCTCATTTACATTTCATATAAATCAAAAACTATTATACTTTTCGCACTTTTTAATGAAATTGTGTAAAGTTCAGCAAAATATAGTTCATTCTAAGTGAAACCTAATTTTTATAGCCATGAACATTAGCTCTTTGATTTAATATGAAAAAAATTATTTTTCAGAATTTTTTTAAATATAATCAAGATACATTTATTTAAAAGCATTTTTATTTCGAAAACAATATTTACATATGCTTTTTAAGGAAATATATTACAATTTTAGAACTATACCCACTTCATTCTACTTTGGAAAAGTGGATAGATTAAAACATGTTCTTTTGAATGCATTACTGTAAGAAAACAATCAAACAAAATCGATAAGTTACATTTCATATTTAATCTATATGAACACAATGTACATAAATGCATCAAAATTTTGGGTAAAATAATTTTAATAGTTTGATTTTAGAGCATTATTTAAAAAAAGCTTGATTTTATACCCACTATACCCCATCTGAACCTAATTGGAAAAAAAATGAGCATTTAATAGTTTTGTAAAACAAATAAGAAAAAAAATTAATATGATTAAAATAAAAACTTTGCAGTTCAAAAAGTAATTCTGAATAATAAATCATCACAACACCCTATAACTTAATTATCTTTAAAAAATATCTGAATAAATAAAGAACATTTTAGAATAAAAATAAAATATATTTTGTTTTATATAAATAAAATATATAATAAATTTTTTATTACATTTAAAAGGCAAACATAAGTATTTTGTAAAAGAGAAAAAGAAAAAAAGGCAGAGACATACCTTTATAAAACTCAAATCAGGAACAGGGTCATGCAGGAATGGTTGTAAAGGAACATAAACTTGATTTTTAACAGGCAAATCTGTGCATCCTGGTAAATTTTCTAGGTTTTCAATGCCTACAGGAGCAACAGGAACATATCCAGCTAATTTTTCACTGTGTTTGACTAGGAAAGGTAAAGCATAACTTCCACTCATACTTGGGCTTACTATGACCGGCTTTTCCATATTAAAGCTTTCTAGCAATGACTGCAAAAAACTTCCTTTATCAGAAATTTTAACAGCTGGTGAATTTACATAACCTAATTAAATAAACAAAACTGTTATAATTTTGAGCAAATAATTATGTTTAGAGTTCATTTGTGTTGATATAATGTGACAATTCAACAAAATATTTCTAAATTATCATAAAATCAAAAGTAAAATGTTCTAACTTTTCAGCCATTTAGAAATTTATACTTTTCTAAAAATCTCTATAATATATTTACAATAAATAAGAAAAATTCATTTAAGAATATTGGCTTAAAATTCACGATAGTTGTTTCTATTGGGATTTAATGCTGATGTTGTAGTTTTTAATTTGTGTTTTATCAAAAAAAGGTAGAAGAGTATAAGAACGTAATATGTTACAAAAGGGCTAAGCATCGTGTTCGCTGCCGTTTACCAACCCCGATGATTGCTTCATAATTATTGTTGTTTCTTATCATGAAAAAGTTTTCCTACTAAAGTTAAAATTATGCACTTAACATACATGTACTAAAAGGAATTTTGTTTTTCCTTACACACAAGTCTTCACTTCCTATGTCCAAACACTATTATCTATTTAAGCATTATAAAAAACATATGACATATTGTTCAAACAAATTTAATGAGTTCGAAACCGTAATTTAATATTTTCGCTTACCAAACAGGCAGATATATTAAATACTATTTTTACTTGCAACTCATAGTGAATAAAGCTAATCGTTAAGTTCTAAATCATTTAACAGATCCCTTTAACTGTAATTTATAACAGTATATTAATGTTGCACAAAAATGATCATTGCAAAATGGTTAATAAGATTAGACCACTTTTCTAAATAACTTTATCTTAAAATGTGCGACAGAATTACATAAGAATAATAATAAAATTTTAAAAAAACTCTTTGTTTTTTTACAAGCAGTACAAGAAAATAACTTTAATTAGGTAATGAATATAGTAAAGTGCGGCGTGCTCTCTGCTTTCACTTATAGCACTGGGTTTCAATAGGTAAGGCTTAATTTAGCCTAATAAGATTTATTTGAGCTTTGAGGCTCTTCTTAAAATTCAACATGCTTCCATTTACTTTTGTAAGTTTCTTTAATTAGGTATACAAAAATATTTACAAAAAAGCTCTATGGAGCCTTCATGACTTTTATTAATTTTATGCTGATGGCAACCAAAACAATATGGAAATGAATGAGGAAAAACTGGATCCTACCAAATGATTTTTCGGCCAATAAAAATGCATGGACAACAATGGAAAACTGTGACACCATCAGTAGACTTTTATATATACTAGTAAAAAATTAGCTACATTCTTGCAATTATCACAGTTTCCTTACACTCGTTCACTGTAATACAAAACTTTTCACTGTAATACAAATGAACTTTCTTCTAANCGCACTATAATAAAAAAAAAAAAAAAAAAATTAAAAAAAATTCTACTTTTCAAAGCTGTAAATGTTTTCTAACTATTCTAAAAAATAGCAACTGTATAGGGTTGACACTGTAGCAGGAAAAAAAAAACGTTCATTATTTTCCAAGTCTTAATTTTTGGTTTAATTTAACCTGTTGCATGCTTAGCATTGTAGCCTGCAATTCTGGTTTTCTTCTGTATCAGTTGTAAACAAAAGCTTAATAAATATAACCAAACTATCTCTCAATATAAATTTTTTTTACTTAAATTACATAAAAAAATATCTCAATTGTTTTACAAGGGAAAAAAAATCCCATTTTTTATGTTAGATTGCTGATTACTAAAGTACAAATAATTAAAAAAAAAATAGAAATAATAAAAACTAAAATTGTAATAAAGTAAAACATCGTAAACTCCGCAAAGAGACATTGATCTTACCAGGAAGATCTACAGCTATTGTGCGATAACCCATTGCAGCTAACATCTGAATTGTTCCTAAATTCAACCAAGTCTGTGAGGAAAACATTTGTCCATGAAGTAACAAAACACTTATAGGATGAGTTTGAGAATCATTAGGTGGTAGAGCTTCACGATAAAAAACTTCAGCTTTCTATAAATAAACACAATAATGAATGTAAATTTTTTTCTTAAAAATAACAAAGATTTTAAAAAATACAACTGTGTGGTCTAATCAAGGCGTACTTCTATTTGAAATAGCTGACAGATGTAGGCCTAGGATGGAATTTAATAATAGTAAGAATATAAATGTTACTAAGTTTATGACGGAAGTTTTGTGTCTCCGTCAGTGGCCGCCCATAGTTGTATAGTATAGTACATGAATGTTCATTTAGGCCATTAATGAAGGAATTGAACAATTGAGTTTCCAGGAAATAATGTACAAATCGTTGAATGTAAATTTAGATTTTATTAAGCATAATTTGAGATTTAGACAATGGCCATTTCTTCATCCAAAAAAATAAGAAATCCCTTAAAGGGATGAAATCAGAATACTCTCGATTGAGAGATCATACAGCCAGAATATCATTTCTGACGGTTAAAAAATTGAGACTGGGGAGGCCCCCAAAGGGCTCCCAGCCTCCACAAATTTGAAATTAAAAGTGAATATAATTATTCCCAACGGACATAGAAAGTATGGGTAGGAGATCCATAATTTGGCGATTTTTCTTAATATACCATAGCCAAAACAAAGCCAACTAGCATATCAACATGGATGTAAAAGAATACCTTGGCGATCACGAGTTGCCAACAAATTTATGAGAATTATTGCAAACATGCAACCGAAACATTTAGCAGTTGGAAATTTAGACTAAAAAGTTATAAATAGATTTTTGTTTTGGATTAGAGGCGACAGTAAATTAATAAGTCTGCATAATAATGAAATAAAAAGTATCCGTTACATTGATTTAGAAGAGAAGAAATAAATATTTTATGTTCGTTTAAAAAGATTAGGTTTTTGATTTATTTTAAATATAATTCTACTATTAATAAAAATAAGCTTAAGTAATGAAAGATATTTTAAAAGGATAGAAAATAAATATGTAATGCCAATTGTGGCATCACAAAGTTATTCTTTGTTTGTTTAAACTAATTCATAAATATATTTTTAAATTAAAATATCTGTTTGACAAGCATAAAAAAAAAATTCATAATTTCCTATATATCTCCTATATATATACTCTGACAGGCACATAACTGAATTCTGTAGATAATCCATAAAACAATAATTAGTCACTCTAAACATCTCTGAAATTGTTGAGAATTGCTAAAATCTGAAGTTAGTCAAAGTGTGAGGCAGAATTTGTGCAAGGAGCAAAACACCTCTGGTTTTTGTGGAGGAAGGTGTTAAAATAATAAAAAAAAATGTACCAGGGAGATTTTAGAAGCTATTGCGCTTTTGTGGGCCAATCCCCTCTTTCTAAAATAATTCATTAATAATAGCTTTTCTATAAAAATTATAAAATATTTATGCGACTAATAAAAAATATTCAATTTTAATTTCTCTTTTATGGTATTATTGAGCTCAGAATTTTTATTGTAATAGCAGACCAATGTTTTCCTATTTTGCATCACTAGTTTAAGAAAATATATTACAAAACCTAAAAACAAGAATTAAATTTTTTTAAAAAATCCAAATTTAACCATAAAATACTGTAGACAATTACTAAATCTGTACAAATTTATAGGATAAATAATTTTAAATGACTCCCAATTTTCTCAGTGAAAAACAAAAACGGAAATTTGCTCATCAATAATAAAACTTTGATTCTCTTGAATACAACATAAGAAATTCGTTTCCTAACTTTTAAAACTTATTACTACAATGATAATTTTAGAATTATCAACGGACGCATCAAAAGACACCCAAAACAAATAGATAATCAAACAAACTTTTTAAGAACTTACTTCTACATTTTTAAATCCTTCATTTACGGTAACGCAGTCCTTTTTAAGAATAATATCATCAGGAATAGGTAATGCTTTTAGATCTAAATGTTTCCAGTGCTGCGACATATTTCTTCACACTATTATGAACATGAATAAAATTTGCAATTTCATAACAGATAATAAGAGGTAAATGTAGTTGATAAAATTTTTTCTCTACTAATTTATATTTCTGAGTCCCCTGATTGAAAACTAAAAACTGAATGTTCTAGGTTATAATATGATACATCTCTGAATACTACAATTACGAACAATAAAACTCGTTAAATTTAAAAAACTGAAATATTTACGATCCTTTGGAAATATACTTTTACTTTTATTGTGTATTTAAGCTTGCTTACGTCTCTATAAATTTAAATTAACTAATTTAATTTCATTTATGGATAGCATAAGTAAACAAGTAAGTCCAATTTGTAAAAATAAGCAGTAGGAAGCGTTTTCAAATCTTCAAAAATGTTTGTTTTTGTCATTTAGTCTGCTGATTTTTTTTTTTTTTTTTTAAAAACTTTATACGATTTTCTTATGTCACAATGTATGGAATAAATGAATGTCTAGAAGAAAGTGATGTAAAATGTATATTTTTTTGTGAATTTCATCCTGTAACTGGGCCTAAAATAACTTTTCAAGTGAGTAATTTTATAAATAGAATTTGTTTTGGTTTTGTAGTTCTTGAATTTCAAAAATATGTTTAAAAGTATCTCTTTATTTGTTTATATCTTTGTGTATTGTAATAACGAGTTAAATTAATTGTTTATTTATCATTATGTAGGTACCAACTGACTATTTTGCAAATAAGCTATTTGATTCGTTTGTGTGCTATTTAATTCCCAAAGAAGAGTTGCAGCGAAAGATTATGGTAGTGTAAGTTGTTCTTACTAATTACATGCAAATTGGGAATATTTCCATATAGTGATCTGTCTCCTCAACTACAATCGCCAAGGTGCCAAATAGATTTTAAACTTGCAAATTTGTTTACAAAAAATGTGTAGATGTTTGCTCAGGGGTGGCTACAAGTTATACCTTTTGACTTGGTACCTTTCTGTGATGTTTTTTTTTCTTTAGTTTCTCGCAGGCTGCTGCCTGGAAGTTGCCAAGACTTGGCCATTATTCTGCACAGATCACAATTTGGAAATCTCCCCCAAAACTTGAAATCTGTAGTTTTATTTGGTGTAACTTGAGATTTTATGTAACTTGTAAAGATGACTCAAACTTCGTCTGAACAAAAACATATCAGTTTTTGAAATTTTTCTTAGATGTCATTTTAAATTTGTTTACGGATTTAATGCTGACAACTGGGGTAATTCCTAATCAAAAACTGCAAACATCTATTTTGTGAAAAAACTATTCAAGATAGAATTTTAATATTTACTGGAAGTTTGAGGGTATATGAGATGAGTCCTATGCTACCTTCGTTTGTTTGAAAATCTAATTAGAATTTTAAAAATTTTTAAATTTTTAGTGATCAGGAATTACCTCTTCTCTTGATCATTTCCTGAACCTTGTAATTCCTGATCACTTCTGGGGTAAATACTGATCAGCAGTTTTTATAGTTAAGGGGCTGCTTGAAAATAATTATACAATGTTAATTAACAAATAAGACATCATGGTCAAACAAATAAACCAAAAAGATATGTTTAAGCAGTTAATAAAATGATTTATTTAAAAGCAGGAATAAAGATTAACACTTTAAATTTTCCAAAAATCTTTGCATCATGCCATACATTTTAGGCAAGCATCCAACTCATTCTCATGTTCTGCTGGAATATAAGAAAGAGTTCCTACATGGGTTACTTTTGCTGGATTTTTTAACTTAATTATGTGAGAGTAAAGTTAAGTACAGTGTGTCAACAACTCTGGCAGCAGCTCTCACACTGAAATTTTCATTTTCAATCATTACAGGAAATTCACTCATTTTGCTTTCTAGAAGCTTAGTATCCTTTTTAGGCTCATAATTTTTCTCCATATTTATATTAGGCTAATTTATAAACTTTAAAACTACAGTAGAGAACCAATTATCCGGGATGCTCGGGACCATCGCTATCCCGGATATCTGAATTTCCCGGTTTTCTGGATCGACCAAAAAGTGTCGTTAATCGATGTTTTATCGAACCCGAAGTACAAGGAAAAAGTGTAATGCATAAAGTAAGAGAAAAAAGAAAGGTACTCCTAACTTTAAAAAGAAAAAAAAAAGGTAGAAATATAACATTTAAAAGAATAAAAAAATTTGCAAGTTTAGACAAGAAAATCAAGTTTAAAAAATACAAAATTCTCATATTTATTTTTTAAAAATAATTACAATTCCTAAATTAAATAATATAAACAAAACCAATGATTAAATAACGCAATATATTTCATACCTAATTATACGGGGGGAAACGATAAAATAAAAGGAAAACTTATTAATCTAAATAAAAACACTTGAAAATTATCGAACCGAAACGATAGTTAAAAAAGGCACTAGCATAAATATTAAAACCCGGAACAAGGCAAGATCAACGGAATTCAAAAAAAAAAACCTAATGATAAAATTTATGAATAAAAAGAATTAATTTATTGAGTGCGAAATTTATCGCGAAAAGAAAAAAAATCAAACGTAGTGGAATCAGAAAAACAAAACTGCAATCTGCTTCATAAAATAATCCTATGTTTAAATTAATAAACAATTCTCCTTTTATTTTATTTTTTTTTTTGTTGATAAAAACAAGATTTTTAATTACAGCAGATGTGATTCCACACCAAGAAAAACTTGCAATTGATACCGCACTTCCAAAGAATGAGAATTTATTCAAAAGAAAAAGATTTTATTTTTATTAGTCGATGTCAAATAAATATATTTTTCTCTTTTCTTTTTCTGTTCACTGATATGCATGCAATGCATTTTCCCCACCCCCCTCGTAAATCAAGCAGAAAACGAAATCAGCATGCCACACCCTTGAGTTTGATTGACGGCCTAAAGGAAAAAATAAAACATTCCTCCCTTCCCTGCCTTCAAGGTCACGGAGGAAATGACGTTTCTCTGGGTAAACGGGGAAAAAAAATTTCCCCTTCCTTACATTTTCCTCTACTCAACTTCAAGGATGAGTCCAATTTCCGCTTTTTTCGTTCTAGTTTAAAATGGCGGAAAATTCTAGCAAAATTTTCCCCGGTTTTCTGGTTTCCCGGTTATCTGGATACCGGATAAATGGTTCTCTACTGTATTATAACAATGTACACACATGAAATTAAGATAGAAGCAAGGTAAGACAAACTAGAAATGGAGCAAATCGGAACACATTTGTCTTGTATACAGTTAAAAACAAAGTTTGTGTTTACAGTTAGAATATATTTTATAGTTGTTCCACTTAATAAATATGAACTGCTATTTAAGAAAAGACAATTAGCTATTTATTAGCTATTTTTTATACTATTTATAAGAAGAAATGACATTGATCAGGAATTACCCCAGTGATCAATAATTACCCCATCTGTAGGGGGCAACATTTGATATAGTTTCCTATAATAAATTATAATGTTTACAGTAGATGTGAAACAATTAAACAAAAGCTTACACTATTTTTATATCAAAGAAAAAGAAAGCAACTCAAAATATTTATTATTAAGAGAAGGTGCACAGAAATGTGCTCATTTTGAAACCCATCTTTGAAATGGAAAATAGAGAAAGCAGTTTAAAATATACTTATTTTGTTAGATTAAGCAAAAAACTATTATTAAATAAATGTAGTTATACTTTAGTAAAGTGTACAAGCATTCTTGTCCATGTCTCACATTTATAAAAAAAATATTTTTTTTTGAATAAAACTTAGGTGATCATTATTTACCCCAGAAACAGAGTGATCGTGAATTACCCCGGGTCACCCTACTGAAAAATGTTATTTTTCAGAAATTTATTCCATTTTGTATAAGGAGATATAATGGCTCTTTTAAGTTAGTGCTAGTAGGATTTTTTTAACTAACATTTTCAATAATGTATAAACTATATAAATTATGCATAAACACTTTGTTACTTGAAATGGTTCTAAGTGCTTCGTTACTTTATTTCTATTTTCTACTCTCCCAAAAGCTTACTTTGTAAAAGGAATGTTATATTTGACCTTGCTAATAGAAATTTATTAAACTCCCCCTAAATATTTCAGAGAAATGAGGAGAATTTTTATGAATTAACATCTATTTAAATCTAGCTAAGTTAAAAAGGAAAATAGTAAATTTTTTTTGGAGATTTTTAGTTGATGATAGAAAAGTTTTTCAATTTATTTTTCAAGAAACTGTTGTAGATATGTATTTTAATTTTATCTTTCATAAATTGAGAGGCATGTAAGAATTATACTATTTCTCATTTTTGAAAAAAAAACTTTTTTTTAAAAACTTAAACTGCAAATGAGAACTTTTCATAAATTTTTTTCTATACATTATTTATAAAATTAAATCTTTTTTATTCTGATACTATTACTTAGTATATTTTTGTATCTTTAAAATGTGAACTCCTAAGGACTTATTTACATTTTGAGTCTTTATATCAGGGTTGGGTTTTTGACGTCAAAAAGTGGTTTTTGACATGACAAGGGTATAATACTGGTTTAAACCGTCAAAAACTGAAGTTTGCCAAGAAAATATATAAACTTCAAAACTACCAACAGTTGCCATGCAGTATATTGAAATTTAATTATACTATAGGAAATCAGCAGGTTTTAAAATATTTTTTAATTAAAATTAAGGTAAAATAACAGATTTAAAATCTCAGAAATTTATATTCAAATGCATGTGCAGAAAAATTTTGCACAAAAATTGTTTAAATATTTATATTTAAAAAAATTTTTCTTTCTTTTTGATACTTAAGAAAATTAAAAGTTTATTACTATGCATTTTTGACATATAAGGAACATATAACTAATATTTATAAGGAA